CTAATTTGTTTAGAGGATATCAGGTGTGTTGGTTTAAATTCTTACAAGAATAAGAGACAGGGATAAGTATTTATTTTTCTAGTTTGAAAATAAAAACTACCTATATCTTACAGCATCACAAAACTCATTAAAATTACTTTTTTCTGAGAATTTTAAAAATATTTCATGTGGTTTTCAAGTAATAATAATAATAATAAAAACAGCTCAGAATGCAGTGACACCTAATGGCAAAGATATCTTTATAAGCCATAAATGTATTTTCTAATAAACATTATCCTATAGTAATACTTTCTAAGTATTGCTACTTTACTCACCAATATGCTGTCTATAATCTAAAATAGACAAATAGACTGTCTATAATCTAAAATATCATGATGATCCAATAGAAATGTGAATATCTTACTTTTTAAAATAAAGTAATATACATAGGTGAAGAAAAAAACTTCAAGATTAAAATGTGTGGTTTTAAAATTGCAATGGCCCTTTAAGATAAAATTATCATATGATAAAATCAGCCTAAGATATCAGAATGGAATAAAGTGTATCTTCCATTGCTCCTAACCATTTCAACTGACTTTTATTTTTGAAAAATCAAAAGTTAATCACCTTGATTTTTATTCATATTTGTCTTACAATTTATAACAGATATTTAGTGGATGTACATTTCACCTGGAGTAGAAAGCAAAGGCCCTTAGTGTAATGGCTTATTAGTCATGTCATAGTTGATATCTTTGATTAATAACAACATTGTCTAACTTAATACACACTTGAATTGTGCTTCAAATAACTGTATTAATGATACAGAGAGGAATAGTAAAGCCAAGTCCCTTAGTACTTTCTAGAAGTTTACACAGTTACCACAAACTTCAGGAACAAACGACTACTAAAAGTAGAAAAAGGATAAAATATCATTGAGACATCTTACACAATCCAAAAAATCCTTGAGGAGTCCCGGGGATTATCATTAACCAATGCAAATCATGTAGCCAACTGAAAAAAAAAATTGGTAGAACAACAGCACATCTTCTGGGAAAGCTTTTACATTCTATAATTGACAAAATAATCCTTAGTGCAGAAGTAAGAATAACTGGTATTTTACATTTACAATCTATTATTGTTTTTAATGTGTTGACACCTTTTATTTACCCGATTTTGTACTTTAATTTGAACATTCTCATAATAAAAGTATTCCGTGGATTGTCTTGTGTTTCTCAAACATAATATCACCGTTGATTATGATTTCAGACTATAAAGTATCATCTGTTTATGAGAAAAACATGAATAAATGCATCTTTCCTACTCCATGTTGACATAAGGTATTTTACTATGACTGATAACAATAAAAATATGCTAGTGATTTGTGTAATATATGAATAAGTACACTGTTTGAGTGTTCCCTTGTAGAGATATATAACTGAGGATAGCTAATTTACAATCAGTTCTGTGAGCACAGGAACCAGATAAAGAAAGGAGCATATATTACACTGTTAAAGCATGAGATCTTCCATAGTTGATATGAAGCAAAACACAAACTGTGCAGTTGCCTGGAAATGCCACCTAATCCCTGCTTAATTAAAGCAGTGCTCTAAACTCCTGTTGTGTTTAGGGAGTAAAGAGTGTGGGACGACTGCTGTATGAAGAAAATAGCAGTCAGCGTGGCTAATCTCAAAGACTTTGGAGCTTTCTAGCTACATAAATCAGAGCGACTTCTGAATAGCTTCATAAAACACAATATCATTGCCATTCTACTCACGACTTTTTGGTTCTTCCTACAGCATGCAGATCATTAGGAAACTTCTAAGCAATCAAGTAATGTGGGTCTGATGAAATTACTCAATCAATGCATAGGCTCAAAGTAGAAGCATAATTCAAAATTGCATAGTTTTTATATGTCAAAAGACCTTTCTTTTATTGGGGCAAAGAAGATCACAATGGAAGTGATTCATTTTTAAATACTATATGGTTGTGTATCTACGTGTGGATGTGTATTATAAAATATACGTAATTATTAAATATTTTAAAATATTATTTGATTGAAACTCAAAGTAATTATAAAATTGTGCATTTTTGACTGAAATAAATACATTTTCATTTCAATCATTATGGTTTAACCATCATGTCTCATCACTGTAGTGAATCAATAAGTTTAACAAAACATATTAGAGTTTAAAATGTGTAATTGACCTTATTAAACTACTGGCATGAGGTAAAAACCGAAGAGAAAGAGAAAGAAGGAGATTATTTTCATGTATATACAATTTGGTTCAATACCAAAATAATTCAGTATATAAAAAGCCTCTTAGAGCAGTGTCTTTTTATCTTTCCAGTGTGCCTGAACTACATAGTGCAGCTACTTTCTGCGGGAACACATCACATGAGGCTGGGAAAACCTTTCATTTCTGCGTATCTCCTTCCATCGCTAGAGTGAAATACCCCTTCCCTCCAGTTTCATCACATTCATTCCTTCAGTCCTGAGCTAATACATTTCCCCGTAGACATATTTCTCACGTTAAATATTTAAATGAAGGCAATCACCTCCTAAAGAAAATTAATTCTTTTCCTATTCAACCAAGTAAGTAAACTAATCCAGTTCATGTTAACTGGTGCTTTACAATTTTAATATGGACGCTCGGTTTTGAATTTACTATACTTTTGCTGAGAGTAGGGGTGGAGGCACTGAATTACACACATACTACCCGTGATCATTTTTTTATTTTTTTATTTAGGAGTTAATGTTTTTCGATATATTATAAAAGATAAAGATTTTGAAACAATTTGCTAGCCCCATGACAATATTAGATAGTCTATACAACAGCTTAGTATCTCACCTAATGTACTAATTGTATTCAAGTCAAATTAATTGTCTCAGAAGTAACTATATCTGCTAGTAGGATATACACATTTAATGCATACAACCAACCTTCTAAATTTGTACACAGCTACTTTTTTTAAATGTGATTATAAATAAGCCAAGTCACTCTGACAGACAACAGTATACAAAACGAAAAACACAACAGTTTTGTTCTATTTTGAAACAGATGTCCAGACTGCATTGAAAAATAGTATTTAACAGTAAGGGATAGCAAAAGCTGTCGGTATTTGTAAATAATGTATTTATCGTGCAGACCACAGAATAAGCGATTAAAAAAAGCACTTTTCCACAGGCTTTCCCTCCTGAGAGATGAGGAACCTACATCAGAAATCCCTAATCATACAATGAGTATAAAGGTATTATGATTATATATTTGCATTCCCGCTCCAATCATTTACAACTGGATATAAACGTATGCCATTTCTTTAAAAGGAGCATAGTTCATTTCTGAACTCTATCAGAATATTGCTGAACCACTCAATGAGATCATAATTTCTTGCTGAAAAGTTCTGAATCTGCAGGCACTGTTAGCCCCCAGGCAAAACGGGATCCAGCAGGCAAGCTATTAGTGCTTGATTTACTTAATGCACAAATGCTAGGTTTTCTGAATCCTGACCTCATTACCCCTTGCACAGAGACAGACAGTTCTACTGATATAAATGATAGAGAATGGCAGACATGTTTACAAAGACAGCGTCTGAGACCAAGAGAGGGAGCCCCCTGGAGCTGAGAGGCTGGCCACTGTGGGCGCGCACGCCAGACAGAAATCCCTCGCTTGGGCGGGCACAATCGCCACCTGCGGCAGGTTCCCCTACCAGGAGTGTGTGTACGTGTGTGTATGTGTATGTGTGTTGCGCGGTGGAGAAGCAGGGGTACAGAAAGGGGAGAAGCTGTGACCCATCTGTCGCCTCAATTTGCAGAACACCAAGCCATGCGTACAGATAAAAGTCCTGTGCCCAGAAAAATTCCCCCAAAGGAACCTCTCTGCAGCCCAGCAAAGAAACCTTGCTGACTCGGGAAGCGAATTTCCGAAAAAGAACTCGTCGCATTAACGGAGAAAAGGCTGCAAGAGCCTGTCGCCGTTCAGCTCTCACGGATTAGCAAGTGAGAAGAGTTGCTGCCTGAAGCTGCGAGCGCTGTGCATGATAATGACACGCAGCCCCCCGCCCGCCCCCGCTCGCCACGGCCAGTCCCGGCCCGTCTGGTTGCTAATAGGTGGGGCCACTAGCATCTCAGAGCCGGCTCAGCAGTCCTTCTCAGAGTCGGGGCCCGCATTAGTCCTGGCGCCTTCGCTGTCTGCCTTGCGCGGCTACTCGGAGTTGACTGCTAGGCGAGGCGAGGCGAGGGAAGGCGGATATCTACTAGGCTGACCCTGGGAGCGGCCTGCGCGCATTCGTTTCCCCGCTTTTCCCAAGCGCCCCGGGGCCAGTTTCGCCGCCGCGCCAGGCCCGGGGAGCGTGTCCGAGGAGGCGAGGCACGCGACTCCCAGTCCTTGGCGACACTGCCGCCAGCCCCTCCCGCCACCATCTCAAAGACTCCACGCGAGGATCATAAAGCCAAGAGGACGTCAGAAGAGAGGGTGGCTGGGGGCGCATCCGGCACCCCGTCACCATCGCACTAAGCTGAGGCGAACTCAGCCGGCTCACGTTGCAAAACCACCTGTTCGATCCGAAGGGAGCGCCCCCTACCCGCACCCCCTGCCCCCGGCCCAGTTCTTTTAATCTCACAGGTGACATCTCCTCTGCTCCCCCAAAGATAAATTTTTAAATGGAGCAAATGTACATCCGGGAAAAAATATGGAAGAGTCAATTAAACTCCCTTTCCCCACACACTTAGAATCCCCCTGCACTTCCCCGCACACACTCACACTCAGGTCAACTCGAGACCCCCACGCACCCAGCCACATTCCACGAATCACCGCGAAACAACAGCACAAGTCAGTCGAGGTTCGAGCATCCACATCCTTTCAGAAAACTGAGCAAGTGTGAGGGAAGGGTAGCGGGAAGGGGCAATGAACTGAAGCCACCTCAACAAGACACACAGAGGGCGGAGAGGGGGAAAGCAAAGGGGAAACATTTGAGAACTGAAACGGTGAAAGTAACCACGAGCTGCACCAACCCTTTCTTACCGATGTGAATGATCGAATCCGCATTCGCCGAGTCCCAGGTTCGAGACCACCAGATGGACAAAACCAAGAGCAAGGGGAAAACTTCCATCTCCTCTTATGCCGATTCTCTTGGAGGATGGATGTTCTTCCAATTTTTCTTTTCTTTTTTTTTTTCCAAACAGTCCAAAGAGTTTGAGGTCACGGTGGAGTTTAGCGCAGCGTTTTCTTTTTCTTTTTTTTTTTTTTTTTCTAAATTCCTATTGCCAGAGCAAAGCCTTTTATCGTCGCCGAGAAAGGCAGAAGGGAATGACAGAAAGAGCCCAGCCTGAGGAAACCTCCTTCGCAAAGCCGTGTCACTTGGAGGGGAATTTTGGCATCGCCAGAGTTGTTTGCAGTTTGGCTTTTGAAAAATATATCCAGCCTCGACTGCTCTTGGGCAGCGGGAGAGGCTGGAGCTCAGATCAGACCCATCGCTGCGCGGGGGCCGCGGGTCTCAGGTCCCAGCTCCGCAGCAACTTCCAACACCCCCTTCACGCCGGATGTGCCCCCTTCCCTTCACCCTCCCGAACCAAAAAAGACCCCAGCCCCCGCCCCTACAGCCCACAGAGAATCACTGGTCTTCGCTGCCAGAATCTAAGTGGAAAGGAAAGATTAGGAGATTCCAAGCGGAGCAGCCAGATTCCACCAGGGAGGGGGGAAAAAGCCCTCTCCAAGAGGGGTAGAAAAAGTGAACTTCAAGGTAATGCAGATAGTAATGCAGAGAAAATTCCCTTTCTGCGTGAGGCGCGGAACGCAGCTTGGCGAGGCGGGCCCGGGGAGCCGGTTTGCTGGGGCGCGGTGGCGGGGGAGTTGCGCCGGGCGCGAGCAGCGGGGCCGGGCCAGAGGAGGGAAGCCGCCGCGGGTTGCAGGATGCTTTTGGAGCGGTTCGCCTGGCGGGATGCAGGAAGCAAGGAGCGAGCCTGGCAGCTTCAGCACCAGCCCCACGTTGCCTAGAAATGGATCACCTAGGAGAAAGAGCGAGCCTGCGAGAGAGCGGTGCTGTCAGGCGGAGAGAGGGGGAAACCAAGAGAGGAAGAGCTTCTCTCTAATAACCACCTCCTCCCCCTATCTGCAATACAAGGGAGAAACAAAATAGTGCTCTCATTTCCCATGGAATCTTCAACCGGGACTGAGAAAAAGGCAGGACTGTAAGAGAAAAGACATTGAAGCTTTTTTTTTTTTTTTTTTCTTGTTTCTTTCTTTTACGAGGTTAAATGCAACCTAAAAAAGCCACCCCACTTATTTAACCTTGCTAGTCTCTAACAGGTATCAGACTTTTTTCTAGTCTTTGCCTGGAATTAGTCACATTGGTTGAAAACAAATTAGGGACACCTGGTCACTTAGGGAAATAGAGACCTAGAAAGCTTTTAATGAGATTTCAATTATAAAGTTATAAAAAGGAGAGAACGTGCTAATTACCTTTTATACAATGATTTTTTTTTTTTCTGTCTCCAGTGTATTTTTTAGGCAATCAGGATAGAGAAAGGTTCCTGAAATCCTTTCTATTGATAGAAATTCTTCTCTATCAGGATAGAAAAGATCTTGAAATTAAAAAAAAAAAAAAGAATAATTAAATAAAACAGAAAAAATGTTTCAGTTAAACATTTGGTCAAAATATTTCATTGAGTAGCTTAATAACCTATGTAGATAAATTCCGAATGAGGAAGTTGGGTGCTCTCTTCCGTGGAAAAAGCTGAGGAAGTCCTGAATGACAGCCTCTCAGTCTCCAGTGAAAGGATTTTCTGCAAGCTTATTCCTTAAGATAAAATCCTGATCATTGTGAATTCTTTTCTTACAATGATTGACTTAAATCAATCTGGCCTTATTGCAAACTGGAGATTTGTTAACACAGTCGAGGTCAGGTATTAATGTCATAATATTGTTTCAATTATAATTGGAATTCTTTAGGAATGTTGGACGTGTGAATGTCAAACTCATTACACAACCTTTCAAAGCCTTACCTCCAAGTTTGGCAAACCTCTTTTCTTCTTGTTCCCTGACTTGAACCCTTCTCTCTAGTCTTCTGAATTGGGTTACTATTTTTCCAGACACAGTTGTACATTCTGACTTCCGGCTGTTTTCATTCATCTTCTACACTTTTTCCTGAACACTCCAGAAAATGTTTTGCTGCCATATTTTTACTAATGTTAATATTTCTTCTTGGAAAGCACACTCTCAGTTTGTCCTCCCAGCCACTCTCCTTCACTATCTCAAGAGTTAGTTCAAATTCCTTTTGCCCATGAAGTGGTGTCCAGTCCTTTAAAGTGGAATAAATCCATCTATCTTCTATACTGTCATAACACACTCTATTTTGTATTAGAGTTAGACAGGACTACTACTAAATTAGATCATAAATGCCTGAGAGTGAAAACCAAAGCTTATTCACATTTTATTCAACACAGCATTTTACAGAGAACCCCTTTGTTGATTTGAATTTCATCACTTCCTTCTGAATCTGGAACAAACCAGTGCTTCCAAGAAGCATTTACTGATTACTCTCAAATTTGATCATTCACTTATCTTTTGTTTCCATTAGTAGGCATTGACTCAATATTGATTATATTAATGGTGTTAATGTCACTTTACTTTATAAGGGTTTTGATGCAATTCCATAGATTATACTTTACTTATTCAGACAATGAATGGAAAGAAGGTACTCACTCCCCATAGCTTGCTTCAAATATTATTTACAGTGACGTTCTAAAAATTGATGTCATTATGTAGTCTATCAAGAAAAATTACAACATAACCATTTAACATGGAAAGAACACCATGGTATCTTAGAATAAGATAACTAGGAAGAACTTCAGAGCATTAACTAGTCCAGTCCTGGCTTAATGAGTGTCTGTCCTGAAGAAAGTCAAATATTGTATAGTCATATTCATAATGTTTCCCCTCTCGGAAATCTGTTTTAGTGTACTATGAGCAAAGCATTTTCATTATTCCCTAATCCTCCAGTTTAGTAGTTTTCAAATGTAGATTCACTTTGAAATAATCTGGGAAGCTTTTTAAAATGATCACTTAAGGTTAATTTAATCAGAATCTCTGGAGTTTGCGACACAGCCTGTAATATATTCTATAGCCTCTATAGAGGGCTCTGCTATGCAGCCATAGTTCAGAATCACTGTTCTAATACTCAGACATTTAAATGAGTCTGGGTGATACATCACGAAAAGCCCGTAAGGTAAAATGACCACTCCTGCCAATCAGAAGAAACAGTAGAATCATGAGTTTTGCCTGTCCAAAAGTTACACAAGAAAGTTGAAATTTAACATTGGCTGTTTGATTTTTCAAGAATAACAATCATTCTTTTTACTGTTGAAATAATTTCTACATTCAATGATTCCTAATTAATAAACATATAATAAATATATATTAACTATATTTTCTACTATTTTAGAAAACTGACTGTCATATAATATTTAGTTAGCTGGATACAAATATTTATAATGTGTGAATTAGATGTTAAATTCCAGAAGAAAAAATATGAATTCATTGGCTGTGCATATTAAATATTTTAATGACTGCTGTCTGTTCGTCTCATTAAGGCTGCTTAACTTTAATTCAAGCCTTATTATATGGAAATGGATGATGTATCTGGCCCACTGTACTTAAATTCAAACCTTGTGAAATTCTGGCATGTATTGGCAGGAAAATAGCCCTCATTAACTAAAGTTTTATAACAAATGATTAACTATTTGAAATAAAATGTAAGTAAATCACGTTTGATTAATTTATTCTTCCAAGGTGGAGACTGTTACTTCATTCAGGCATTGGTCATGATATGAACATCAATTATTTGAAGAAATGATAGAGAATCTGAACTGCCCCAAGATTTAAACTAATATGCCTTTTTTTCTTTGAAAAACAGAATTTGGAGAGAAACTGATTTGCATTGGTGAGGGGACTACAAATGCTGACTCCTTCAATCATGCACAATTGTAGAAAGAAAGAAAGGTAATAGAATAAAAATTCTTGGAACATATAATTATTTCATTTTCACCATTAAAACTGCTAAGAATATCAATGCTTAAATTTTAAAAATCAGCTGCTCATTGTTATAACAGCAGTAAGTCATCTTACATTGGTCAATTTTAAGGAACTATTTCAATTATATTTTAATGACTTGAATTTTGTTTTAGTATAAAAATCTATAAATTTATGAGTCAACTTATTTGAAACTTAAAAGAGTTGGTTTTTAAAATAAAATCATCAAAATGGGACAATAAATTTTGATCATTATTTCTAATTCTTTATGATTATATTATTCATATTACAAATATGGCTAGTCACACAAAAGATTCCAAGTACATTTCAACCTTAATATGAACATGAAAGGAAAACTGTAAAAAGGCAAAGACTGATCATCTATAGATGCAAGTAGTTGTGATAAATGGCTGTAAAATTGTAATTGGGATATTTATTTGCAGATGTGAAAAACATAAATTCCCTTTTGTTGAGGGACTGAAAGAGTAACTTTTGTACTTAGCACATCAAAGTTCAGAGCTCACTGAGGCTTCAGGGACTTTCTCATTCAGTGTCTTGGTTTTCTAGACAATGATGGGAAAATTGAGTTACAGAAGTTGTACTAATATTTATTGGAAGGCTTAAATTTAGAAAGTACATTTTTTGACTTTTAAATAAGCTTTGAAAAAATACTTAAATTACATATTCCTGTATAACATATTTACTCTGGCCTTATCTTGACCTCATTGTTTTCAGGTCAACTTCACACTGACTTACCAGTTACCACTAGGTCAAACTATTTTGTCTGTGACACTAGTGGAAATCTTATCCACAAGGATAGCTTATATCTCCCTCCTTTTCTTTCCTTTCCCCTCCTCTCCCCTCCCCTCCTGCCTCCCTGCCTCCCTGCCTGCCTGCCTGCCTTCCTTCCTTCCTTCCTTCCTTCCTTCCTTCCTTCCTTCCTTCCTTCCTCCCTCTCTTCCCCTCTCTCTCCATTCCTTCTTCCCTTATTCCTTTCCCTTCCCTTCCTTTTCCTTCACTCCCTTCTAAAATAAACTCATAATCTCTTTCTTCTTTTCAAAGCTTTCTTCTTTTATAGAAAGGACTGTAATATGTAGATAGGACTGTAAATCTACATGCCCTATCAGGACAATGCCATATTATCTTCTAATTCAATTAGATGTAAATTCTAACAAAATTTTGCAATTTAAATGGTTAATAAACATGAGTGCTTTACCAAACTTATCTGTTATTAAGGTTGATTCAAGTGAAAACTTTCTAATTTTAAAGTTTTCTTACTGTCTATACATTAGCAATGATGTTGAAATTTTAGAAACAGGGATTCATGTACATTAATAGTCCTTTTAGTTGCCTTATCTTTTCTGTTCAAATGTTGATGTGTCATTTCATGAAAAATGTTAATAAGTGTCAAACAACTGGTTGATGGAGAACAAATGATGACTTTAACCCAAAAGGAGCACCTTACTGAGATTGGCCCCTCAATACATTATATCCTGTCCCCACAAGATGGCAGCCATGCTTGATGTAGATTTAATCAGCTTACTTTTTGAATGTCTCAACTCTTAACAGTTTACAAGGATATTATTAGCTCATACTAATCAAATAGCTATAATGAAGCAAATTTTATATTGTAAGTTATTGTTTTGGTAACTTGAATTTCTGAAGTTTTATTTCTTCTGGTTCTCCTAAAATTTTCATATAGAAGTAACAGATTTCTGTTAGAAGGCTCCAATAAATATCTGTTTTTCATATTTTCTCTAGTTTGATCACTTGCTTAGGAATTAAAGACCTATAGAACAACCTTTAATAATATTCCACTCACTCCTGAGTTAAAGGATGATTAGAAAACTGAGACATTATTTTGTGATTCAAATTTCTGGTATAAATATTAACGTTTCAAATATGAGTTAATATAACTATTTGCTTTTATAAACAATACATGTCTTATATATCTTGAAATAAGAAATTACACTTTGCCATGGGAAACAAATTTTCTGTCAATTATATCATTGATTTTTTCATGTGGCATAATAGTTGAGGGAAATGTCTGAGTATATCAAAAGCCAAAAACAATTGTTTTATGTCAACTATAGTGAACATTAGCATTTTAAATCTTAAAAAATCAAATTTTATTTTCTCATAATTAACTTTTATTTTTGACATTTTTTGTAACATACTTGTCTAGACACATAAGTGGCTCAGTATAGAGTATACTTGTGGAGTATGCCGCAGATAAACTGTACATTTTGGTATAAAATATATTGTATTTTATAGTAGCACAAATCATGAAGAAAGTGTAAATAGAGAAACAAAAGCTTGATTAATATATATATATATAAAATATATCTATAAATTGACTTTGAATATTTTAAAGGAGTCATAGAATTTATAAAAATTTCATTTCTTAGTGGGTAGCTAAAAATTTTATTTAGAATTAAACACAATAGATTCCTTATTCCTCATTGGTTCTGCAAATTGGTGGTAAATTTAAGTATTTAACAGATTATCAATAAATGAATGAATTAATGAGTGCAGGAAAGGATAAAATGAAAATTTTAAAATATTGTGGAATATTACCGATGCGGCATAATACAAAATCATCTTAATTCCAAAATCAACAGATAACTGAGGTATCAAAGTTTTCTATTCATAAGATTATTTTGCCTATTTATCAGGCCCATAGTTTACAACACAAATAGAGGTTATTCATTTGGTCTAGAACACATGGAAGATATTTTCAAAGGGTTCTTTGGAATATGTCAATAAAAGTTCTCTCAGCAATAGAAGCCAAAATATGAATCTCTGCCCAAATTTAACTTGAACTATTTTTGTATGGTTTATGTGAGTAAAGAGAATGCTGAGTTGGGGGTGGTTAGACACTAAATTTATGGTTAGATTTCACAGAATTTACCTAATGTTTGTTAATATAAAATTACATTGTCAACATTTTGTTTGCTCTCCTTTTTCTAAGCTTTGCCGCTTTTTCACATCTTTTTTTAATTTCATCAAGAGAGTTCAACCATAAAGAATTCAACACAACAAAATCAAAATTGTTAAAATAAGACAATATTTAAACGTTTTTAAATGCCAATGTGTTTTAAAAATATCTAAACTAGCACTTCCCACATTGAGCTCTATGGAATACTTTTCATGGGAAAAATTTAAAAAAAAAAAAAAAAAAAAAAGGAGGTTTAGTGGTCACATAAGATTGTAAAATGCTAAATAGATATTTTCTTCTCTTACAGATCCACAGTGCAAATTAATATATTAAAAGTCAAGGGAAGTCTACTAGGAAAGAAATCATTAACCTGTATTTAACCCAGTATATCCCAAATGTTTTTAGCCCTCAATTTCCCTTTCTATAATACATACTGATCACTCTCTGTCACACTGTTGCGATGCACTTTCTGAATTCCAAAAGTAAAATTATTATTTTTGTTGTTGTTGTTGTTAATTTCTCATCTTGCTTTTTGATATTTGTATTAGCCAGATCACAAATCTGTATGCTGGAATATCATATCCGGAGAGAAATTCTGGTTTGTGCTACAATAGAAATTTCTAATCTCCATTTTGAACTTCTACGATGGAAGAAAGATATATCACTAAGCAATAAATATGGTTTCATTTTAAAATGTTTTATAGATTTTTGCTTATGGTCAGGATATAAAAATTTAAAAACACTGTTGTGATCCTAACAATGAGAAAATACTGGATGATATATAAAAACATTACTTATCTTAAACCCATCAGACCGCTGATGTAGTGAGACAACAAAGTAAACTGAGTTCCAAGGAGTAGCAAGCACCTTGGATGTGAGACAGGACATTAAAATTGTTTCATTTTAGCAGGGCACAAAAGGGGCTGCCGTAGAAGCAGATAAGAAAAAAGCAACCCAAATTTTAATGAATTCCTAAAAGCTTAATGTGAATTACAAAAAAAAAGTAAAATACCTGGGAACACAACCACAGGACATTTTCATTCAATTATAAGCTAGTCTATAGATCTTCATAGGTGTTCAGGGAAAGAATGAGGACCAGGGAGGATCGCTAAATGCTAAAGGCATGATGGGGGTGGAATAGCTTCAGACTATAGTCCGCTTTCCTGCACCCTTGTCTGTAGGTAGAAAAAAGCTTTAACTGATTAGGGAGAAGCAACAAACTGTCTTCTCCTCAGGTCCCAGGCAAAGATCCAATGCTCTGTGGATCAAAGCAAAATTCATCAGCTTCTGGAGAAGTGTCAGTGAACCTTCCTTTCTGATATCAAGAAAGATCACTGTTTTGGGGAGAAGAAATGAATCAAAATTATCTTCTCCTGGAGAAGGAATATGAAAACTTTTATGGGTCAGTATACTATGATGATATAAAGCAGAGATATACTCTTGCTGGGGGCAAAGAGGGGAAAAAAATATCTCTCCTGTTTCAGATCCTTCAGAGATACAAGACTGAATATAGTTCTCTTGGGGAGGAGAGAGACAAGAATATTAATAAAACCCTATTCCTGATACTCAGGCACATAGATGTTGTCTAAGACTGAATTTGCACCTGAAGAACCAAAAGTTTGCTTCCTACCTCCATACTGAGTTTATGATTGAATAAAAAGCAACTGCAGTCTACTTAGAGAGGAAGGAATATGGAAATAGAGACCCTCTATTTGGCACAGTCATGCAATGGATTCTGAAAGTGAGGGAGCACAAACACTGATTAAAAACTTCCAACACCACAGTCCTCAATCATGTGGTTCAACCAGCCCACACTGAAAAAATTAGAAGACTGGCTGGCAATGAGGGTGAATATATCAAAAACAAAGCCCAAACAGAACTCAATTATTTACTACCACCCTAAGAGAAGAAGAGTTGTATACATTTCTGGCTATGAATGCTCTTCACCTCAGTCTTTATTGTTCTTCAACTCACAATGTTTATCATTTACTCAAAAATTATAAGACAAACAAAACAGCAGGAAAAAAAAGCC